TTGAGGCTGTTGTAAGGACTTTGGCTTTTACTCTGAGGGATATGGGAAGTCATTGCAGGTTTTTGTTTGTTTTGTTTTTACAGAAGACTGACTTACATGTTTTTAAGGGTATTAGCTTGACTGCGGTGTTGAAGTAGGCCATAGGGGACCCAGGGTAGAAGCAGGCAGACCCATTAAGAAGCCCACTGCAACAACCCAGTTGGGAAATGTTGGAGGCAATGAGCAGGTGTTCGTCATAGAGGTAATCAAGAGTGGTCGGAGTACGAATAGAGGAGGATCTTTATCAGACCCCATCCTTCCTCATCCATCCACCCATCTATCAGCCATCCATCTCTCCATCCATCTATCCAACCATCCAACCATTGCTTATTGAAAGCCTACTTTGTTTTAGTCAATGGAGATAGACAACTAAATACATTCGTAAGCATGATAATGGTCTGTAGTGGAAACTGCCATAAAGGAATCAACAGTGTGATCTCTTAGGAAAAATGATGGAGTGGAAGCTAGAAAAGGCCTCAGTTGAACCGAGACCAGAAAAAAAGGAGCCAGCTGTGATAAATGTCAGGAGAAAAGCAATCCAGGGAAAAGGAAATGACTTTGCATGTTTGAATTACAAAAAGAAGACCAATGTTGTTGGAACATAGGAAACTGGAGAAAGCAGCCATTGTGATCGCTTCCCCAGTGACTAACACAACAAATGGCCGTGTCCCTACATACAGTCCCTAGATTGATCTTTTCTGTTTTCATAATATTACACAACACAATCTGATAGCCATAGTACGGATGTAACAAGAAGTTTCAAGATAAACCAACATGTGGGCATTCAACCCAGCCAGTTGTTGTTACTATTATTAGCAAGAATTAGAAACTGAGGAAGTACAGTTAGCGACAGAACAAACACATAGCAATTGCATATGAACTAGACTTTAAATCTAGATCTGTCTTATTCCAAAACCGGTTCTTTATCTGCTATGTATCATGTTACTTCCTAGATGAGGAAAGAAGAAAGAAAAATACTCAGGACAACATTGGACAACAGCTGGGCATGGAGCCTGACGCAGGGCTCGATCTCATGAGCCCTGAGATCATGACCTGAGCAGAAACTGAGTTAGATGCTTAACTGACTGTGTCACCCAGGCACCCCCAGAATGATTTTTAAAAAAGGTTCTTTCCACTTTAGTTGGAACATACTAAGAAAAAATAGACCAGAAATTCCTGTCACAGATGAGAAGCTAGGAGTCTCTTTTTGGTTTACCTCTGTCTGTATTTATCAATAAAGATGTCTACAAAGAACAACTAACAGAATCCCTTCAAAGGATTGAGAGATGTGAAAACAAACAAAATGAAACAAAGTGATACATTTCTCAAGAAGCAATTTTAATGTCAGTTTATTTCTCAAGTCTTAAAAGATACCCTAGCTTCATTTCTCAAAGTGGCCACAGCCCAACTTCAATAATACATTTGTGATCATTGTTTTCCAAATCAAGCTTTTTACTGGTAGAATTCTTTTTTATTATAGATGATTATTAAGCATGCTGAGAAAGAAAAAAGATGGATATGTATAGAATACATATATACAATATATTGTAATAAGTACAATATATTACCATTTCAGAAAACATGTTTTAGTATAAAACCAATTCATATTCAGTAAGCACATAAAAGAATAAAGAAAAATGCTTCTGCTAATGTTCTAATCTTTGTTCTATGTATAAATAACTGGAGCACAGGAGTGCTTGTAGGACTCTGTCTCTTGTCTCAGCTCATTCTCATTCTCGTCTTCATCATGGCAGAAATGTGTCCTCTGTCAATGCGTCTTTGCAGCTTCACCACCTGTGTTGGTCTGCTCAGGCTGCCGCAGCAAAATACCACAGACTGGGTGGCTTAAACAACAGGCATTTATTTTCTCACAATTCTCGAGGCTAGGAGTCCCAGGTCAACGTGCTGGCCACGTCAGTTCCTGGTGAGAGCGCTCTTCCTGGCTCGTAGATGGTCCCCTTCTCACGGCTTCCTCCCAGGGCCTTTCCTCTGTGTGGCGTGGAGAGAGAAAGCGAGTGAGCTCTGGTGGCCTTCCTCTTGTAAGGACATCAGTCCCATTGGGTCAGGGCCCAGCTCTTATGATCTCGTTTAATTTTAGTGACCTCCACAAGGACCCTATCTTCAAATAGTCACGTTGAGGGTTAGGGCTTCAACGTACAAATTTTGAGAAACACACCTGAAAAAAAAAAAGGGGGGGTGTATTTCTGGTCCCATATTAAAAAATTTCAAGAAAGGACTCTGACTAGTCCAGGATGCATCAACTGAAAGTTATCATAATTGACCTTATTTGTTTTAGGGCTCACCCCTTGCCAGTCAATAGCTTCAGTTTAAGGAGTTAATACTCTGAAGAGTTTCTCATGGATTAAACATACAGTATTAAAAACATATAGAATTATAGATTTGATACTTCATGCACCTAGTGTGTTCAACTAAGGGTGAGAAGGAGGTAAGCATACTTAAAAGAGTATGATTTTTTTTTCAAGAGTAACAGAAAGATGAAAAACATCTTGGTATGAGAAAAACAAGTTAATTCTAGAAATGCAGAATATTCTGCTCAAGGTTTTTTGTGGCAGGAAAAAAGAAATTCTGCTACGTATGGATCTGAAACTTAAGATATTGTGGCACCCAAAAATCCACTGCCGCATTTCTTGATTTTTTTTTTTTTTTTTTTTTTTTTTTTGAGGAGGCTCTCCTGAGGGCAGGAGGAGATATGATTGGAGAAATTCAGAAGGTTTAGGCCATAGCATTGAAGATAGACCAGAGTGGAGACAGAATGGCTAATGAGGAGGATATTATAGTAGACTAAGCAAAATTTGAAAATACTAAAGGAAGTGAATTGTCCTGTTGGGTGAGAGTAAGTAAAGGGTGGCAGGAGGTGTTAGTAAGGATATTAACAATAACCTAAAGTCTTACAAGTCATGTTTTGTGTGAGAATAACCACCATGAAGACAGCAGAAGTAAGAGAAGAGTGGGTGAATTTGTAAAGAGGGCCAGCAACATTATTCTTAGATTTCTACCTTCAATAATCAGATGAAAAGGGCGCCTGGGTGGCTCAGTTGGTTAAGCGACTGCCTTCAGCTCAGGTCATGATCCCAGGGTCCTGGGATCAAGTCCTGCATCGGGCTCCCTGCTCTGCGGGGAGCCTGCTTCTCCCTCTCCCACTCCCCCTGCTTGTGTTCCCTCTCTCGCTGTGTCTCTCTCTGTCAAATAAATAAATAAAATCTTAAAAAAAAAATAATCAGATGAAAAGGGAAAGCTGATGGTGGAGATGATCTGGGGCCAGAAATTATAATTTACAGTTGCAGCATCTTCCTTCAGAAATGAAACCTGATCTCTACACACTCAGATTTTAAAATATGGGAATCATAGACCAGAAAAGAGCTGCTCAGGGGCCTGAAGTGGCCAATGCTGTGTTGTGCCTACTTATGCTGAAGGTCACACCAGCTTGGGAGCCCGTGGAGGTCACATTTACAATAGTATCCAAGTAACCAAAATTCTGAGCTCCCCCCTGTTCACACGGAAGCACTGCTATTTCTCAAGGTGTCCTAGTTCATTTTTGTGAGACATCAGCCCCTCACGTATGACCAGGAGCATGATTTTCCATATTCTTCCCTTTTGCTCCTCTTGTCTGACTACTTCACCAATACCACGCATGAGAAATCAGCTCAGCCAGGCACTGCTCTGCCCAGGGTTCTGTCTTCTGTTCCCAAACCTACCGTTCCCTGTGTCCCAGGGCAGAACTGGGTTTGCATGGGGAAATGGGGAGCATTTTGCCTTCATGTATTCATTCGAATAACATTGAAATGCCAATTATGAACCCAACAAGGTTCTAAGTCCTGGGGAGAACATTCATGAAACAAAACTCCTGCTCTCCCTGGGTTATACTGTGAGCCACAGAACCTCAGTGAGGCCTTGAGGCAGTGATTCTGGACGCCAAGTCTTGCAAAGTTTCTGGTGAGGATGGCTGTTCCAGCTTTCGGCTTCTGTTAGCACCTCTCCAATAAAACGCTCAAGTGCCATAAAAAGAAGCACCCATTTTTAGACACACAATGTCCCAACCCATATTTAGAAAGCAAAAATTGACATTTTTGTTTCGTGGATGAACAGAAAGTATTCAAAGCTATAATTCTGCCTGCTGCATTGACAATCTTTCACATGATTCTAGAGCCTCAGCTTTTCCTTGAATAGTCACTAGGCCTATCATGGGGGTCATCCCAGAACAAGTCTAGCCTGCTTCCAAAGAGTACCTAAGCTGTCACCGCTTGCGAAACAGAAAACAGCTCCACTTTTGACGTGACAGTATTTTTGGGCTTTTGAGACCTGTATCAAGATTTCAACGTTCTTCCCTCCTCTCATGTACTCCCTCTCTCTCATTCTCTCTCTCTCAAATAAAAATAAATAAAATCTTAAAAAAAAAAAAAAAGATTTCAACGTTCTTGGGCTCATGTTTCAATTAGATTCAAACTCCAGGAACTGTGAGCTTCCTCTTCCCCTTAGCAGTGTCTACAAGGAGGCTGCTCTCAGCTGCAGCCTGGGAACAGGAGTAGGCCCTTCCATGAAGGCAGTGGAAGGTCTCTACTTTTCCCTTTTATGTCCTTCATTGGGGGTCATTGTCTTTTCCCAGGGCACCATGTGATAAAATTCTAGGACCGAGAGTACATTACACTTTTATGGAAGGACACAGTTTTCCTGGGAAGGAAAAACAAGGGAAATGAAGGCTTCGTTTGAAATGACTCAACGTAAAAGTAGTGTCCACAAGTCAACTCAGATTCCATAGCAATTCCTTGATGCAATGTTTCCATTTCCCTTTCTGTACCCCTGTGGGGGTGGGGAGAGTTGAGAGGCGCTGCAGAGGGGCCTTGGCACCACTAGGGGGCAGTATTGGATAGGAAGAAAAAGGAAAACCCCATTCATCCTATCTCTATAGAATGAAGTAGCATTTCAGGAAACCTAAATTTAAAATATCATCCTCTTGCCAGTCAGAAGTCATCTGCTTTTCTGCACTCCGATGCCATTGCCTACGCGTACATGTTAGAGCAAGTATGTTTTGCATTCATTCTTTTTTTTTTAAGATTTATTTATTTACTTGAGGGAGAGAGAGCATGCTTGTGTGCGCAGGGGGGAGGGGCAGAGGGAAGAGAGGTTTTTTTTCTTTTTTTAAGATTTTATTTATTTATTCTAGAGCGAGAAAAACAGAGAGAGCGCGAGCAAGGAGAGGGGCAGAGGCAGAGGGAGAAGCCGACTCCCGGCTGCGTAAGGAGCTGGAGGCGGGGCTCCGTCCCACCGCCCGGAGATCGAGACCCGAGCTGAAGGCAGCCGCTTAACCGGGCACCCGGCACCGGGAAGAGAGTCTTAGCGGACTCCGCGCTGCAGGAGCCGGAGGCCGGGCTGTATCTCACGCCCCGGAGGTTACAGCCTGACCTGAAACGAAGAGTGGGTCGCTCAACTGACTGAGCCACCCAGGTGCCACTGCACCCATTATTTTCTCCATTCACTTGTAAGTTCCTTGAAGATGACTGTCTTAGGCTTCATAAGTTTATTACATAATATTTGTTGAATAAGTGAATCTTTTATGAGCACCCTCTCAGTACATGCTGAGTTCTTAACAGTTGAAAAAAAAATTTTTTTTTTTTTTAAGATTTTATTTATTTATTAGAGAGCGAGCGAGAGAGAAACAGCATGAGAGAGGAGAGGGTCAGAGGGAGAAGCAGACTCCCTGCCGAGCCGGGAGCCCGATGCGGGACTCGATCCGAGGACCACGGGATCATGACCTGAGCCGAAGGCAGTCGCCCAACCAACTGAGCCACCCAGGCGCCCGAAAAATTTTTTTTTATAAAAACACGATTTTGAAGTTTTAATGTAGAGTTGAAGGTATTAAATAAGGAAGACATAACGAACCCAGCATTGAGCTATTTCACAACTAACACAGCCATGCTTATTGCTTTGCAGGGTGCTGCCACCTGCTTACTTTAGGTCATTGGATCCTCATAATAACCCTGGGAGCTCAACTGAGTGACTCCAGGAGTCTACAAGAAGCCACAGCCCTCAGGGACTCTTTTTTTTTTTTTTTTTTTTTTTAAGATTTTATTTATTTGACAGAGAGAGACACAGTGAGAGAGGGAACACAAGCAGGGGGTGTGGGAGAGGGAGAAGCAGGCTTCCCTCGGAGCAGGGAGCCCGATGTGGGGCTCGATCCAGGACCCTGGGATCATGACCTGAGCTGAAGGCAGACACTTAACGACTGAGCCACCCAGGCGCCCCATCAGAGACTCATTGGATTTTGTGTTTGGATGGTGAGGCTGGACTGAAGGCACCCCACTCCTTTCTTCAGCCTGTGTTAACCCCTTCTGTTCCTGAACATGTTATGAACATGTTGGTCCTGAACTGTGTGGAGTGGCTCAAAGGATTGCATAATAAGGGCTGGACTTAGGGAGCATATAGGCGGCCTCTGCCAGCTTGGGGTGGAGCAAGTTCTTCTGGAAGGCAGAAGGATGAAGACAAGACATACAGGAGTTAGGGAAGAAAAGGGTGTAAGGAGGAAAGGGGGCTGTCCCAGCTGCCCGTGTAACCTCTATACAGTTAGCTAATAGTGCTTACCCTTGAGAGTTTGCCCCTTGAGATGCCAAGAAAGACTTAATACTTTGTGTTGAACACCTGGCTTAAGGAAAGACTATTCATAATGACCACATAGCTCAGTGTGTCTCAGTGTGCCTTATCTATCATAATATTGGAGCATCATCTGTAATGTCCAAACCAATCTTTCATGCCTTTCACCGAGTGCCTGAGAAATGTTAGGCATTATTATTACTATTGATAGTGTTACTCATTGTTATTATTGCTACATCATGACACAGAGGCTTATTCTGACCAATTGTTACATTTAGTTTTGGAGACAGAACCACTGATACCAATAAAGAGAGTACAGCACTTATTTATTTATTTAGATAGATTTTTTCCCCTATTATTTATTTATTTAATTTTAATTCTAGTGTAGTTAGCATACAGTGTTCTATTAGTTTCAGGTGTACAATATATGCCTCAATAATTCTATACATTACTCAGTGCTCATCATGATAAGTGTACTCTTTGATCATCCCCATCCCCTATTTCACCCACCTCCCCTCTGGTGACCATCAGTTTGTTCTCTATAGTTCAGAGTCTGTTTCTTGGTTTGCCTCTCTCTTTTTTTACCCCTTTTATTCATTTGTTTTGTTTCTTAAATTCCACATATGAGTAAAATCATATGGTATTTGTCTTTGAACAACTTATTTCACTGAACATAACACCCTCTAGCTCCATCCGTGTTGAGAGTCCAACACTTTCGACCCCTGGTGGATTTGGTTGGCTGCTGGGGTAACTACACTTTGCCTTTTAGGCTGACATTCACGAGGCAAACGCAGTTGGCATAGTACTGTCCACCAAAGAAATCTAAGGGTGCTTCGAGATTTCTAGACTTGTTTCGTTTCAATGGTGAGGGCCTTAACAACTGGAGAAGGGCACTCCAGCTGGATTTGCTAGTTCTCTTTTAAACTTAACAGGTCCCATCTTCTTAAGCCAACTTTAACATGCCTTTCCTTCTTATTTTAAGAACTAAAAAAATGGGATAAGAATAATATCCATGTTTTAAAAAACTTTAAAAAACTTTTATTTTGAAATTTTTCAGACATAAAGAAAATTAGAAAAAAGTGTACTCAACACTTCTATCCTCAGTTGTTATCTTGCTACATATACTTCATCTATGTGTTTTTTCACTAAACCATTTTAATTTGTAGACTATATGAAGTTTCAGTCCAAAATACCTCAGCATGTAATCCTATATCACATGGTACCATTATCACTCCTAATGAATGAACAGTTATTTCCTTATATACTGACTATATTCAATTGCTTCAACTGACCTCAAATGTTCTTTATATGTTTTTTTTTTTTTCAAGTCAGGCTCTTATCAAAGACCATATGCTATATCTGTTAGTCCTAAGGCTTGTATAAGCCATAACAGTGGTCCTCCACCCCTTTTTCTTTTGTCCATCTGTGAAGACACTAGGTTAGTTGTTTTATCGAATATTCCTAACACCCATAAACTTGAACTTCATTGTAACTACAGTGCTTGGGGTTGGAAGTGGGGATGCCAGGGTGATGTTAGGAACCTCCATGAGCCACGGATTTCTTTTGTTTTCAGTTTTAATATTGATGTAAATTTTACGCTGTCACCCACAAAAAATACGATTGTGACATATTTCACAATTTCACTCCCTATATTATCTTTTTTCAGTTTTCTATCATGTTTCTGAGGTATTCATACACAGTTTTTTCTTTCGAGATTGAGCTTCCAAATATCCTCCAAATGTGCTCCTTTTTCAGAGTTTGCCATCTATCGGGTGGAATGTCAGAAACTCAAAGAGGCAGGACTCCATGCCAAGGTTGTGACAAATCAAAATTCTACACTGTGTTTTCAAGTTGGCCTGTTGGAGTTATTTTGTATAATACACTTTTTGCAGGTAAGAACGCTTTTGGCAATGTTCCTAATTTTAAGAAACTGTTCGTAGTGTTTTTGTTTGACTGCTGAACAAGGTAAAAAATCATTGGACCAGTTGCTCAAGGTTGGTGGATAAAATCAACCTTCCTTGGCAAACAGAGTTTGTAACTCTCTGCGAACACTTTAACAAGTGCAGTTTCAAAGAACAAATATTTATAACATAAAGGTTACAAGTAGGAGTCCTAAAAACTAGTAAGATAAATTTTTGAAGATTATATGGAAGCTCTTTCCTTATCTTAGTCACAGAGTTACGCTGATGACAAAATACAGAATGTGATGACAAAATACAGAATAAGTAAAAACTTTACTTATATTTTATGGTAACCGGTATGTATATATGTTCAGTTCTATTTTATTCAAACAAAGCCTATTGTAAATCTTGTGGTTTGCATTCTCAAATGTGCTCCCAGAAACAGCTTCCTAACATTTCCCTCAATGTTTCCTGCTTAAAACAAAACAAAACAAACAAATGAACAAACAAGATAACTTTAATATAAATTAAGACTGAATCAAAGATATTTGGCGTCTTGAGTAATTTATTTCCACTCAGTGGACTCGCTGTCCTAGATTGAGCATCCCTGAATTCCTTTCCTTTCCTCTTACCAATATGCATGAATTATATAAGGTTCTTTTTCTTCCTAAAGTGGCTAAGCTATCACTGGAAATTTCATTTCATTTTTCTTGGTGAAATTGTTTTTGAGGAATACTCATTACTCCAGGCTCTCACTGCAATTTTGTATTCAAGGGAAGGTTGGTCAGCTTGATTGATACTGAACAGAGAGACCTTCAAGGGAGAAAGAGCTAAGATTCCAGATGCTCATCCTTTCTGCCTAGGGGGACAAAATACAAGCAGTCCACCTTCAGAGGGGTAGGACGACAGGCAGGCATTCTGCACTGGCCCACCTGCTTTTTGTTTCTCTGCTTATGTCCATTGGACAGCCGGTAGTCTTGGGCCTAGCTGGTGTAGGGGAACCTTCCCCACTGCTAGTTGGCTATCTCTGCATTTTGTTTCTTCTTGGGAGACCAAAAAGCATGAGAGGAAATAAGGCCTAAAATTTACTAGTTTGAAACACTGGTTATGAGAATCTTTGTCTTAGCTGGGTTGATTTCGGTTTTATCAAAATAACTGGGGGTTAATGAGAAATCCTGATCCCTCTTCACAAAGACCATGACCTCTCTCTCTATATCCATCCTGGGAAAGGAGGTATGTGAAGTGAAAGTGGGAATTCTCCACAAGGAGAGTGATGAGAGATGAGGGCCTGGAGGTGTAGATGACCATGGAAAGCAGGTTCTGTAGACTCAGAGGTAAACTAAGGATGGTCCAGCTGAGTAGATGACAAGAGGGCTAGTCTTTAAGGGGTGTGTGGTAGTATTTAAAATATGTCCACCCAGGGAAAGAAACAACAAATGTTGGAGAGGTTGTGGAGAAAGGGGGGGAACCCTCTTACACTGTTGGTGGGAATGCAAGTTGGTACAGCCACTTTGGAAAACAGTGTGGAGATTCCTCAAAAATTTAAAAATAGAGCTACCCTATGACCCAGCAATTGCACTACTGGGTATTTACCCCAAAGACACAGATGTAGTGAAAAGAAGGGCCATAGGCACCCCAATGTTCATAGCAGCAATGTCCGCAATAGCCAAACTGTGGAAAGAGCTGAGATGCCCTTCAACAGATGAATGGATAAAGAAGATGTGGTCCATATATACAATGGAATATTACTCAGCCATCAGAAAGGATGAATACCCAACTTTTACATCAACATGGATGGGACTGGAGGAGATTATGCTAAGTGAAATAAGGCAAGCAGAGAAAGTCAATTATCATATGGTTTCACTTATTTGTGGAACATGAGGAACAGCATGGAGGACATTAGGAGAAGGAAGGGAAAATGGGGGCGGGGCATTGGAGGGGGAGATGAACCATGAGAGACTATGGACTCTGAGAAACAAACAGGGTTTTAGAGGGGAGGGCGGAGGGGGGATTGGTTAGCCCGGTGATGGGTATTAAGGAGGGCACGTACTGCATGGAGCACTGGGTGTTATATGAAAACAATGGATCGTGGATCACCACATCAAAAACCAATGATGTATTGTATGGTGACTAACATAACATAATAAAATTTAAAAAATAAAATTAAATAAAATATGTCCACCAATTCTTTGAGACTTCTCCTTTCAAGATGTGGAGTCTCTATTTCCTCCCCTTGAACCTGGGTGGTCTTACGGCTGCCTTGATGAATTAATGTGGCTGAAGCGATAGTGTGTGACTTCCAAAGCTAAATTAGAAAAGGCCAGGCAGCTTCTGATAGTTTCTCTTGGGATGCTCGCTTATGGAGCCTGCATAGCCAAGTAAAATGTCCACCTGAGACCATGATGTGGGGAGGAGCCCCAGCTGTTCTAGCCTGTAGCTGTTTGAGTGGCTTTGGCCCAGATGCCAGATAGGTGTGAAGAAGCCTTTAGGATGATCCTAAGCCCCCACTGCCTGACCACACCTGCACAGAGAACGGAATGAGAACTGCTTAGCTGGGTCCACTCAGCCCAGGATCAGTAAATAAATTAATACTATTTTTAACATGTTTGGGGGTAACTCTTAATGCAGCAGTAGGTAATTGAAGCAAGGCATTAAAATAGAACAATGCTGATAAACTCAAGTTCTCTCAAAAATTCTGGTGAAATGCAAATAAATCCCTTGCCTGCTGAAGTGGGTGTTGCTCTTGTGAGCAAAATTAGTTAAAAAGCACTTCGCTCGGGCTCGAGCCCATCTCTGTTGTGTATTTGTGTGAAAAGCAATGGAGTAAATTCCACATCTCTGTACCAGGGATGGCTTAGGGGAGGTTGGGACTAAAGGGGAGGAAAAATAATTTCCTTCCACCCTTCTAAGTTCTTGGCTGAGACCCCTGGAGTAAACAACAGAGGAAAACAAATAGAAGTTGATTACCATGTGTATCTCCTGTGCACATGGAAGCTACCTAGGGAAAAATGAGTAACTCCCTGAGGTGCCTTAGGATTCAGGCTTAAATACCATTTTAATAGGGAAAGAGGAGGAATGTAAGCCTCTTAGGGGAGAGGAAATCATTTTTAGGAAAGACGAATGGGCACTTCGAAGAGTAGATGGGAGGTATGATAGTTTGTGACAAAGTCTGTCTGGGTGTGGTGTCCAATTTTATCAATCTTCCCTGGTTGTTGAAACTCCCAAGGAGGAGATTTATGACAATTGAGTTCCTTTTGGACCATGTGTCTTTAAGTCGAAAAGGGGAGTTCAGAGAAAGTCTCTCCCCGCATTTGCTATTTTCCAAGTGCCTACAGCTCAAGACAATGTACCAAGGTGGCATATTTGGGGGTGGCATGTCCTGAACTCCTACAGTTATATTTTGGGGTGGCATATTCTGCTACCCTTCTGGGCAAAGCTTTCTTCCTTGATAAAAAGAGATTCAAGAGGATGAAGGCTTACCTTCCAGGCCCCAAGCCTGGGGGTGGGGAGGGGGGGAAACAAGAACCCCCCAGTTCCATCTTCATTTTGGTGCTGAACTCACCAACCTGGAATTTCTGGTCACTGGGCTTCATGTTGGATAATAATTGCCCTTTTGATAGGAAGGTATCCTATTATTTGTGGTTTGACACAATGTATATTTGATATGATGTGGCTTCCAAGGAATGCATGATTTTTAAAAAAAATTCTAAATTTTAAATCCTTTAGTGCATCTTCCAAGAGGTTTCCTGGTTTCAAAAGTCACAAAGGGAAGCTGAAGATAGAACTTGCATTTGATAAAAACAGGTACTATTTTACTGTCCCCCCCCCCTCAGGATACTAAGCCTACTTCAGCAAGTAGAAGTAAGTTAGGAAACGGATCTGTTTTTGTTCCTTCTGTTTCTGCAAATATTCTTGTGTAGAAAATGATTTGGAATCCCAAAGTGAAATATGAAATGCCATGGAAGATAGTTACATTTTAGGATTTTGTAATCAAAGGCTGTCAGGGGTTGAAGTAAAGTCCTTCCCTGTTTGATTTTAACATTCTAGAATGGTCAGCTCTTATGGGCTGAATTACATCTTCCCCAAATTCATCTGTTAAAAGCCTCCTAGTATCTCAGAATGTGACCTTATTTTGGAAATAGGGCCTTAAAGAGGTAATTAAGTTAAAGCAGGATTGTCAGGCTGAGTCCTAACCCACTACGCCTGATGTCCTTATAAGAAGAGATTAGGATGCAGAGGGAGCAGCCACACCCGGTACTGGGGAAAGCGGACGGATGGACGGACAGACGTGTGAACACACAGGGAGAAGGCAGCTGTCTGCAGCCAAGAAGAGAGGCCTCAGGAGAAATCAAGCCCGTTGATACTTTGATCTTGGACTTCCAGCCTCTAGAACAATGAGAAAATGAATTTCTGTTATTTAAGCCGCCCAGTCTGTGGTATTTTGTTATGGAAGTCCTAGCGAACCAATGTGACAGACATCTGCCCATTGACTTATGGTGATGTAAAGTACAGTTTTTCGTCCCTTCATTTCATCACTCATAAGGGAAGGGATGAAAAAACTGCAAGTTAAGAGACATTTGCCAATAAGTCAAAATACAGAATTATATCCAATGCCACTTTTCTGGAAGGGGCATACAATTTTTATGAATAGGTAATCAGCTTCATCCCACCTGCACTGTATGTTAAATAAATGTTTACGGATTCTGGTTTGAAGGTGACATTACATCATCAGGCTGTCAAGTTTGCTCACAGGTCTCAATCCAACCTCAGAAAGAATAAGGGACTTGGAGCTACTTGTGATAATGAGGTGTTTGTGAAGGAGAAGACAGGGAATAAAATTTGACTCCTTGGTTTGACGCAGTGGATGGCTATGAGACAATGATGTTAGAGCTTGTTAATATTTTACATTTATTAGTAGATAAGGAAACACTTGATTTTATTTTTGTTCAGAGTTCCCAAAAGATGAATTAGTTTCCTGAAGAATATGATTCAAGATCTGTTGGACTAACTCCTTTATGTAAGGTTGTTTGGAGGCAAATTTGTTTCCTTTGTATAATACTTCATGTGATTAGTCTTTTGGCCTAATTATAAATTCAGTTCTCAAAACAGTTTGTCCCTAAGTAAATCGCAGTGCTGTTTTCTATTTGATTTTCTAAAAAAAGAAAATCTAATGGAGATGTCCTCACTAGTATTTATTTGTTATTATACTGCAATTAATGGAAATACGTAGTTATTACTCTTTTTCCTCCCAGGTCATTTTGATGCTATGGAAATTACCCGGGATGCTTTCTAATAAAATAAAAATAATAGCTCAACAATCTTATCTAGGTTTTCTCAGGCCTGTCTTGCAAAACTGGCCATCAGGAAATATTTTATCTACCAAAATATAGCACTAGCATATACAACAAAATGGTATTTCTTGAACTGTGGCTCACACAAAAAAAGATACACAGGGAGCTGAACATTTTTAGTATTTTCTTGCTCAGTTTTCAGTGACATTCTTGGAAATAAAAGCCTGACTTATAAAAAGAAAGCCAATTCTCTTTGATATGTTGATATGTAAATTTAGGAAAGGTCCTCAATGGCTATGGAATAAAAACTGGAAACGGCAACTGTAATTTTGTTCAATTTTGTTAACAAGAATGTAGTCGATTTGTTAGAAAAGGTGCCTGCTTCTAATAAGTCAATAATCAATAGTTAAAAAATAAGCATATATGTGTGGAACCTTTTATTAGAAAAAATTTGCCACTATCATCTACAGGAACACAAATTTTGCTCTTCCCAAGTGAGGAAAGAATTCACACAGTTGCACTTAATAGAAGCAGGACCAACTAGGCATATTTGACGAGCCACCTGCTGTGGAAGCTTTAAGGAAGGCCTACAGAGATGAAATTTAATACGGTAAAAAAAAAAAATATATATATATATATATATTTAGTTTTATTATTTATTATTCACTTATTTATTATTAACATATAATGTATTATTTGTTTCAGGGGTTCAGGTCTGTGATTCATCACTCTTACACAACACACAACACCCACCACAACACATACCCTCCCCAGTGTCCATCACCCAGCCACCCCATCCCTCCCACCCCCCACCACTCCAGCAACCCTCAGTTTGTTTCCTGAGATTGACTCTCTTATGGTTTGTCTCCCTATCTGGTTTCATCTTGTTTCATTTTTTCCTCTCTTCCCCTATGATACTCTGCCTTGTTTCTTAAATTCCACATATCGGTCAGATCATATGATAATTGTCTTTCTCTGATTGACTTATTTTGCATAGTGTAATAACCTTTAGTTCCATCCATGTTGTTACAAATGGCAAGATTTCATTTTTTTGATGGTGCGTAATATTTCATTATATATATATCACATCTTCTTTATCCAGTCATTTGTCAATGGACATCTAGGCTCTTCCCATAGTTTGGCTATTGTGGACATTGCTACTATAAACATTGGGGTGCATCCTTCAGATCCCTACATTTGTATCTTTGGGGTAAATACCCAGTAGTGCAATTGCTGGGTCATAGGGTAGCTCTATTTTCAACTTTTTGAAGAAATTCCATACTGTTTTCCAGAGTGGCTGCACCAGCTTGCATTCCCACCAACAGTGTAGGAGGATTCCCCTTTTTCCGCATCCTCGCCAACATCTGTCGTTTTCTGACTTGTTAATTTTATCCATTCTGACTGGTGTGAGATGGTATCTCATTGAGGTTTTGATTTGGATTTCCCTGATGCCAAGTGATGTTGAGCACTTTTTCATGTGTCTGTTGGCCATTTAGATGTCTTCTTTGCAGAAATGTCTGTCCATGTCTTCTGCCCATTTCTTGATTGGATTAGTTGTTCTCTGGGTGTTGAGTTTGATAAGTTCTTTATAGATGTTGGATACTAGCCCTTTATCTGATATGTCATTTGCAAATATCTTCTCCCATTTTGTCGGTTGTCTTCTGGTTTTGTTGACTGTTTCCTTTGCTGTGCAAAAACTTTTTATCTTTTTTTTTTAATTTTATTTTATTATGTTATGTTATATGCAAACAATGAATCATGAAATACTACATCAAAAACTAATGTTGTACTGTATGGTGACTAACTAAAGCTTTTTATCTTTTTTTAAAATTTATTTTATTTTATTTTTTAAGATTTTATTTATTTATTTGACAGAGAGAGAGCACAAGCAGGGGGAGCGGCAGGCAGAGGGAGAAGCAGGCTCATCAAGCAAGGATCCCGATACAGGGCTCGATACCAGGACCCTGGGATCATGATCTGAGCTGAAGGCAGACGCTAAAGCTTTTTATCTTGATGAAGTCCCAGTAGTTCATTTTTGCCCTTGCTTCCCTTGCCTTTGGCAATGTGTCTAGGAAGAAGTTGCTGTGGCCAAGGTTGAAGAGGTTGCTGCCTGTGTTCTCCTCAAGGATTTTGATGGATTCCTGTCTTACATTGAAGTCTTTCATCCATTTTGAGTCTATTTTTGTGTGTGGTGTAAGGAAATAGTCCCGTTTTATTCTTCTGCATGTGGCTGTCCAATTTTCCCAGCACCATTTGATGAAGAGACTGTCTTTTTTCCATTGGATATTCTTTCCTCTTTTGTTGAAGACTAGTTGACCATAGAGTTGAGGATCCATTTCTGGGCTCTCTATTCTGTTCCACTGATCTGTGTGTCTGTTTTTGTGCCAGTACCATACTGTCTTGATGATTACAGCTTTGTAATAGAGCTTGAAGTCCAGAATTGGGATGCCACCAGCTTTGCTTTTCTTTTTCAAAATTCCCCTAGCTATTTCGGGTCTTTTCTGGTTCCATACAAATTTTAGGATTATTTGTTCCATTTCTTTGAAAAAAGTTGATGGTATTTTGATAAGGATTGCATTGAATGTGTAGATTGCTCTAGGTAGCATAGACATTTTAACAATATTTGTTTTTCCAATCCATGAGCATGGAATGTTTTTCCATTCTTTCAATTCTTTCTCAATTTCTTTCATGAATATCCTATAGTTTTCTGAGTACAGATCCTTTGCCTCTTTGGTTAGATTTATTCCTAGGTATCTTATGGTTTTGGGTGCAATTGTAAATGGGATCAACTCCTTAATTTCTCTTACTTCTGTCTTGTTGTTGGTGTATAGGAATGCCACTGATTTCTGTACCTTGATTTTATATCCTGCCACTTTGCTGAATTCCTGTATGAATTCTAGCAGTTTTGGGGTGCAGTCTTTTGGGTTTTCCACATAAAGTATCATATCATCTGCAAAAACTGAGAGTTTGGCTTCTTCTTTGCTGATTCGGATGCCTTTTATTTCTTTTTGTTGTCTGATTGCTGTGGCTAGGACTTCTAATACTATGTTGAATAGCAGTGGTGATAGTGGACATCCCTGTCATGTTCCTGCCCTTAGGGGGAAAGCTCTCAGTTTTTCCCCATTGAGAATGATATTCGCTGTGGGTTTTTCATAGATGGCTTTTATGATATTGAGGTATGTACCCTCTATCCCTACCCTCTGAAGAGTTTTAATCAAGAAAGGATGCTGTACTTTGTCAAATGCTTTTTCTGCATCTATTGAGAGGATCATATGGTTCTTGTCCTTTCTTTTATTAATGTATTGTATCATATTGATTGATTTGTGGATGTTGAACCAACCTTGCAGCCCAGGAATAAATCCCACTTGGTCGTGGTGAATAACCCTTTTAATGTACTGTTGGATCCTATTGGCTAGTATGTTGGTGAGAATTTTTGCATCCATGTTCATCAGGGATATTGGTCTGTAATTCTTTTTGGTGGGATCTTTGTCTGGTTTTGGGATCAAGGTAATGCTGGCCTCATAAAAAGAGTTTGGAGGTTTTCCTTCCATTTCTATTTTTTGGAACAGTTTCAGAAGGATAGGTATTAATTCTTCTTTAAATGTTTGGTAGAATTCCCCTGGGAAGCCATCTGGCCCGGGGCTCTTGTTTGTTGGGAGATTTTTGTTTACTGCTTCAATTTCCTTGCTGGTTATGGGTCTGTTCAGGTTTTCTCTTTCTTCCTGATTTAGTTTTGGTAGTTTATAGGTCTCTAGGAATGCATCCATTTCTTCCAGATTGTCTAATTTGTTGGCATATAGTTGCTTATAATCTGTTCTTATGATTGTTTGTATTTCTTCAATGTTGGTTGTGATCTCTTTCATTCATGATTTTATTTATTTAGGTCCTTTCTCTTTTCTTTTTGATAAATTTGATCAGGGGTTTGTCAATTTTATTAATTCTTTCAAAGAACCAGCTCCTAGTTTCGTTGATCTGTTCTATAATGTTCTTTTGGTTTCTATTTCATTGATTTCTGCTCTGATCTTTATTATTTCTCTTCTCCTGCTGGGTTTAGGCTTTATTTGTTGTTCTTTCTCCAGCTCCTTTAGGTGTAGGGTTAGGTTATGTATTTGGGACCTTTCTTGTTTCTTGAGAAAGGCTTGTAGTGCTATATACTTCCCTCTTAGGACTGCCTTTGCTGCATCCCAAAGATTTTGAATGGTTGTGTTTCATTTTCATTTGTTTCCATGAATTTTTTAAAATTCTTCTTTAATTTCCTGGTTGACCCATTCATTTTTTAGTAGCATGCTCTTTAGCCTCCATGTATTTGAGTTCTTTCCAACCTTCCTCTTGTGATTGAGTTTCAATCTCAAAGCACTGTGGTCTGAAAATATGCAGGGAATGATCCCAATCTTTTGGTACTTGCCGAGACCTGATTTGTGACCCAAGATGTGACCTATTCTGGAGAATGTTCCATGTGCACTAAAGAAGAATGTATATTTTGTTGCTTTGGGATAGAATGTTCTGAATATATCAGTGAAGTCCATCTGGTCCAGTGTGTCATTCAAAGCCCTTATTTCCTTGTTGATCTTTTGCTTAGATGATCTGTCCATTGCAGTGAGGGGGTGTTAAAATTTCCTACTATTGTTATATTATTGTCAATGTGTTTCTTTGATTTTGTTATTAATTGGCTTATATAATTGGCTGCTCCCATGCTAGGGGCATAAATATTTACAATTGTTAGATCTTCTCGTTGGATAGACCCTTTAAGTAGGATATAGTGTCCTTCCTCATCTCTTATTACAGTCTTTGGTTTAAAATCTAGCTTGTCTGATATAAGGATTACCACCCCAGCTTTCTTTTGATGTCCATTGGCATGATAAATGGTTTTCCACCCCCTCACTTTCAATCTGGAGGTATCTTTGGGTCTAAAATGAGTCATTTGCAGACAGCATATCAATGGGTTTGCTTTTTTATCCTACATGATACTCTGTGTCTTTGGATTGGGGCATTTACCCCATTTACATTCAGGGTAACTATTGAAAGATACGAATTTAGTGCCATTGTAAGGTGACTGTTACTGTATATTGTCTCTGTTCCTTTCTGGTTTATGTTACTTTTGGGCTCTCTGCTTGCTTAGAGGACCCCTTTCAATATTTCTTGTAGGGCTGGTTTGGTGATCACAAATTCTTTTAGTTTCTGTTTGTCCTGGAAGCTTTTTATCACTCCTATTTTCAATGACAGCCTAGCTGGATAAAGTATTCTTGGCTTCATTGCAGTAAAAAATATTGTTAAAAGGAGACACAACTCTGCAAAAGACATTTTTCTCATTTTATAAATATATTATTAAATGCTACAGCACTATTCTACCAAATTCATCTCCTTATGTTTCATGAGATTACCAAGATAAATGAACATCTGAGTCAGGAGTGGTAGAGGGGGCAGAGATTAGACTAAATTATCTCTTTTGTAACCTATAAGAGTCTGTGGCTTCAGGACAAAGAAGCAATGAGCGTGATAGCCAGTATTTATCTAGCACTTCCCCTATGCTAGGCACTGTTCTTAGTGCTTTTTAAGTCATCTCTGAGGCTCCAGGGTTATATGGAATGAAAAAACAAATAGCTCCAAATCAGAGGCAAATTTTGACCATTATTCTAGAGGTTTTGGTTTAACAAGAAAACACATTATCTCTATGGCCCCAGTATTTTGAGGGATAGGGAAATCTCATCTTTGATTCAGCGATTCCTGCTTATCCTACACTACCCATTCTTCCCATTTCTAGCAGCTGGCCTGTGAGTGCCTAGAATAAAGCCTATGTGTTTCTTCCTCCCTCCCAGTTAGGTAGGGCCATGTGACTAAGTTCTGGCCAACAGAACAGAAACAGAAGTATTATGAGGTAACATGTAGGAACCTGCTTTCTGAGACTATGTATATGCTTTAGGTGGATCATCAGATTGTACTCTTTTTGTTGCCTCTTTGGGAAGGGACTTTTGTCCCATGAAGTAACACATCAGGCTAAATGATTTCTATATGTCTCTTGCAAGGACACAGCACAACAGCCAGCCAGTTTTTTGTGTGCTTAGCTTTTTTTTTTAAAAGGTGAAAATGTACAAAGAGGAAAGTTGAAGTCAAGCTACTACATTAAGGAATTGAAGTAAGTAGATAGAACATAAAGTAGGAAAATAGTAAATATTAGAAATGGAACAGATCAGTAAAGTCTGTGTTGATCCTTGAATCACTGAAGAATTAATAGGTCACTATGCTAAAGCAGAGTGCTTGTTTTTAACATGTAACAGTCTCATTTATTTTATGAACTTGGTTCTCTGGATTCTCAAGATCATCTGCTACTTTCTTGGGAAAATAACAGCTCACATTTTAATAAATCTCACTGCCATGGAACATACTTTCTGATGCATCTAACTTTTCTCCTATTCATTCATTACCTTATTCATTTTGGAAATTTGCAAGACTAGAGCTGATCCATAAAAACTTCATCTCTCTTCCTCTGTTTTTGTACTTTATACTTCCTTAGTTAAGGATGTCCTTTTCTTATCTGGCTGACTAACTCCTACAGCACCTTGGCTCAAGCTCAAGCATTCTCTCTCCTTAGGGAGTCCATTGTTTCTAGAAACCTGGTTTAGGTACCCCATTGTGTGCTCCAGCCCACTGAGCCTATCTCTACCAATGCACTTATTACTCAATGTTGTAGCTCTGTTTGCTCCTCTCTTCTTCTCCCCTGGACTATAAGCTCCTTAAAGTCACTATCTTTCATCTCTGTGTTCCTAGATACCAGCAAAGTGCCTGTCTTATAGCAAATCTACAATAAATTCTTCTTTAAAAATTTTTTTTCTCAGATCTGAGATTCCAAATATCTCAAACACATTTTTCTTTAATACATTTTTAAAGTTAAATTTATCAAGGAGTGGGGTGCCTGGGTGGCTCATTTAGTTAAGCATCTGTTTTTGGCTCAGGTCATGATCCCAGGGTCCTGGGATCGAGCCTCTCATTGGGCTCCTTGCTCAGCGAGGAGCCTGCTTCTCCCTCTCCCTCTACTTCTCTCCACTGCTCATGCTCTCTCTCTCTGTCAAATAAATAAAATTATTTATTTATTTAAAAGATTTTTATTTATTTATTTGTCAGAGAGAGAGAGAGAGAGAGAGCTCCCATGCTGAGCAGGGAGCCTGATGCAGGGCTCGATCCCAGGACCCTAGGATCATGACCTGAGCTGAGGGCAGCCGCTTAACTGACAGAGCCACCCAGGTGCCCCAAATAATATCTTTTAAAAAAAAATTTATTGAGTAAATTACATTTACAAAATACAATAAAATTAACATTTAAAATTGTACAGATTGATGAGCTTTGCCAAATGTATACAGTCTTATAACCACACTGCAGCTGTGGTATAGAACATTTCCATCCCCTCTAAAAGTTCCATTTGCTCCTCCGTAGTCAATCCCCTACCTCATCTGGCCCCTGGAAACCACTGCTCCAATTTCTGTCCCCACAGTTTTTTTTTTTTTTTTTAAAGATTTTATTTATTTATTTGAGAGAGAATGAGAGAGAGCACATGAGAGGGGGGAGGGTCAGAGGGAGAAGCAGACTCCCTGCCGAGCAGGGAGCCCGATGCGGAACTCGATCCCGGGACTCCAGGATCATGACCTGAGCCGAAGGCAGTCGCTTAACCAATTGAGCCACCCAGGCGCCCTGTCCCCACAGTTTTGCTAGTGCTATACTGTCATATAAAATGGAATCACGTGTAGCATGTGTGGGCATACATTTTCTTGCACTTTGGTTTATTGCACTTCACAAATATTGTGCTTTTACAAATTGAAAGTTGGTGGCAACCCTGCATTGAACAAGTCTATTGGCACCATTTTTCCACAGCATTTGCTCACGTCCGGGCTCTGTGTCACATTTTGGTAATTCCCGTAATATTTCAAACTTTACTGTTATTATTATATTTGTTATGGTGCTCTGTGGTGGATGATCTTTGATGTTACTATTGTATTTGTTTTGGGGTGCTACAAATTGTGCCCATATAGGACAGCGAACATACTTGGTAAATATTGGGTGTGTCCTGCCTGTTTCCCATCTCTACCTCTCCTCGGGCTTCCTACTCCCTGAGACACAACAATATTGAAATTAGGCCAATTAATAACCTTATAATGGCCTGAAAGTGTTCAAATGAAAGGAAGAGCCAATTGATGTGGAAACCTTCATTGTTGTCTTATTTTAGGAAATTGCCACAGTCACCCCAGCCTTCAGCAGCCACCACCCTGATCAGTCAGCAGCCGTCAACACTGAGGCAAGACCCTCCACCAGCAAAAGGATTATGACTTGCTGAAAGCTCAGATGATGGTTAGCATTTTTAGCAATATAATATTTTTAAATTAGTGTACGTACATTGCTGTTTTAGACATATTACTATGGTACACTTAACAGACTACAGTTTAGTGTAAAGATAACTTTTATACATGCTGGGAAACCAAAAAATTCATTTGACTCCCTTTATTGCAATATTCACTTGACTGTGGTGGTCTGGAACCAAACCCACAACATCTCTAAGGTGTGTCTGTCTGTATTCCTTTGTGTTTCACTTTTTTCACTGGACAGAATGTGTTTGAGACCCACCCACATTACACATATCAGCAGTTTATTCCTCTCCATGTCTAAGCAGTACCCATCTTATGTGTGGTCTAAATATGTTTAACTACTTGATGGACGTTATAGTTGTTTCCAGTTTTATTATAGGGATAACACTGCTAAAAACATTCACATGTAGATCTTTATATGGGCATATATTTTCATTTCTCTTGGGTAAATGTATAGGATTGGGATTTCTGGGTTGCATGGTAAGCCTGTGTTTAACTTTATAATAAAACATTAGCATTTTGCAGAGTAATCGTGCCAATTTATACTTCTACCAGTAGTTCATAAATGCTTTTAAAACGAGTATCATATGTATACTAGATTTCTGATTCTTTAGTTGTCAGATATTGCTAAGTTGCTTTAAAAAATGTGTAAAAATAAATGGATGGATGTACTGAGGTCTAGCTTTTTTTTGGTTGCCAGAGTAGAAAGAAATTGAATAAGACCCATTCCTCCCAAATAATTCCTCCACTGTTTTAATTATCAATATTTGAAATTCCTTCCTTGCAGTGTCATTGTCCCCCCAATACTTTGTTGGAACTCCAAGTCCTCGGGAAGCTGATCTGATAGGATCACTTCGTCAAGATTTATGAGGACCAGTTTCCAAAGCCCTAGCTGTGAGTCGAGTGGGAGGGCCATTCCGGGTACGGAGAGTCTGAGTCTGGGGACGAGCCAAAGACGGGAAGAGCAGAGGTCCGGGATGAGGGACACACACAGCAAAGGGCCAACAAGCCGGCTGGAAGGAGACTGGAGCCGGCCGGCCGTTGTATTCCTCTGCCAGCACTAGCAGCCGATCGGGGTTTGAGAACCAGCTGCACCACTTTCTAGGCACACGGCTTTAAGCAAATCCTGTAACTTTTTATTTAAACGTCAGATTTTTTCGCCCCTCCATCTGAGATGCTGAGGAAATAATAGTAGCTCCATCTGCTCAAATGATTGCTGTGGGCATTGCACTGAGACGTACTGGTAAGTACAATATATACTGCATGAGTGTCTTTTATTTTTTTAATTTTTAAAAGATTTTATTTATTTATTTGAGAGAGAGGGAGAGAGAGCACAAGCAGCGGAGGAGGGGCTGAGGAGCAGGAGAGGGAGAAGCAGACTGCTGCCAAGCAGGACCCAGGGATCATGACCTGAGCCGAAGGCAGATGCTTAACCGACTGAGCCACCCAGATGCCCCCAGGAGTATCTTTTAATTGGTCAATTTTAAAAGCTGCTTTCCGCCCTAAATTCTCTTCTGTTGAACCTTCTTTTGACTTTTGCTCTATAACTACCATGTCAATGGTCCCCTCTCTCAGATCCATTTAATCTCTTTTCCTGCCCCTTTAGAACATCCTATGTGCTTTAGAGTAGTAGTCTGTGATACTTTCATAAAATTTCTTCCTACCACAGTCCATCTCAGACCCAGAGAACAAAATTGTGAGGTTTTAGATGTGACTGAGATGTGCCTTCAGTTTGGGGTTGTGTGACATGTCCAAGACTACTCAAATTACATTGTGACAAACAGCTCATCAATCTGAGATGCTAGGAGTCTTCTTAATTCCTGAGGGGGTGTAGAGATCCTTCTGTGACTCTTCCCCTGTCTCTCCAACACAAGCATCGTTTCACAGAAGTTCAGACATAGTCATTTATAAAACGCCTACATTTTCCTGGACATTTTCCTATATTCCCTTTCTTTTTTTTTTTTTTTTTTAAAAGATTTTATTTATTCATTTGAGAGAGAGAATGGGAGAGAGAGCACGAGAGGGGGGAGGGTCAGAGGGAGAAGCAGACTCCCTGCTGAGCAGGGAGCCCGATGCGGGACTCGATCCTGGGACCCCAGGATCATGACCTGAGCCGAAGGCAGTCGCTTAACCGACTGAGCCACCCAGGCGCCCACCTATATTCCCTTTCTATTTATAAACTGCATTTGTTTTGCCTTTTTTGTGTTCCAGCATAATGTTTGTTTATAAAAAAGATGTCATGTAATCCTTGCAATGCCCTCCATGATAGGAAAGATGACATGAAGTTTTAGGGGAGTAAATGACTCGCTAGGGAAAACACATGTCTATGCCATGATGTCATCATTGATGAGTCCATGGCCCCTTTGTTCTCTGGGGACCTGCTGTTTCCATAGGCAGTCTAGCTCACAGGATGGTTTTGCTTTCAAGTAAAGCCAACCTCAAAATTATGCTAAGTGCAAGGGCCAGAAGTTAATAGGGGTTAAGGAATTTCTGAAGACAATAGTGCAACGAAGTTTCCTCTCTTCTTGGCAGCTAGTTCTCTAGACTGAACGGAGTGAGTCAAAATTCTTATTAAGGTCTTATTAAATCTGATGTCAGTAACCAGGATTATTTGGCACCTTGAATAGGGACTGGCTGAGCTTACTTTTTAGCTACCAACTGCCCAGCCCAGCTCAGCTCAGCTCAGCTCAGCCCAGATGTCCACAGAAGGTGGATATTTACCACTGCATTGCTATTTATCAGTGATAGTCTGCTGCTCATTCCCTATCTTCTCTTCTCTCTTTCTTCCATAATAATGAAACCTCAGAGTTTTAGATGGGCACCTGGGTGGCCAGAATAAACTACGTTGTCAAGCCTCCTTTGCAGCTAGATGTGGCCACGTGACTAAGTTCTGACCAAAGAAATATAATCACAGTCATCCAAAAGCAGCTTGTGGGACTCTTCCTCTGAAGACAACAAAGATTCCTGTGTGACCACCGTTCCCCACTTTTTTTGTGGTCCTTTGCTTTTTTCCTTTTGGCTAAAATTTGTGTGTCATAACTTAGGTCAGAACAGCCATCTTGGGCCATGTGGTACCTTCAGAGAGAGGCCTCACTGGTGGAACACTAAGATGATGGGAGCCTGCATGTCTGAGGACATCATGGAACTGTCACTGTCTTACCTGTGGACTGCCCACCTCTTGACTTCCAGGAGTGTTTTCGTCCCTGTTAGTTCTGTCCCCTGTTCCTAGCAGCAGAACCCTTCTGAGGCAACAGAGCACCAGCTGTGGATGCTTTGAGGAGAGGTGAGATTGGAAGTGGGGGTGGCGATGTTCTCATTGATTCCCAAAAGTGGTCTCAGGAAGGAAGGAGACACTGCCTGTGGTAGGATGTGAGGCCAGTGGGACGGGTCGGTCCTTCCACCTGCACTCAGACCACATGGCAACTGCCCTGCTGTTGCTTCAGCATCTGCAGCAGGCAGTCCTCGAGGCTGCCCCCCTTCTTGCCTGCTCTGCAGCAGGAACTAATGGTTCTGAGGCACCTGGTCTCCTTATTAGCAGCTCTGTCAGCTGTGCTGGTAAGAGCTAGGTGGGCCAGGCACATCTAGATGCATCCATCACTGCCTATTGGTGGCAGTTTTGTGTTGCTTTAACTTTCAAAGAATTCGGATGCAGATATCCTGTAATGGTGGCAGGCTTCCACTTCCAATCCCGTTCTTGAGGGGGTGCGGCAATGAGTTCCAACATGTTTTGCAAAATGAATGACTTGCCCAAGAATAATGGAAATAAGACCAACCAGGTGCTGGCACCTGGATCCTAGTCCTGGCACCAATGATAGAAACAAGACATTGAGCAGGCTCCTGAGTGGCTCTGGTTCTCAGGTTTTGTAAATGTGAAATGGCACACTGGGTCATGTGATTTCTTTCTTTCTTTCTTTCTTTTTTTGAAGATTTTATTTATTTATTTGAGAGAGAGAACATGCACAAGCAGGGGGAGAGGCAGAGGCAAAGGGAGAAGCAGGCTTCTCACTGAGCAGGGAGCCTGATGCAGGGCTTGATCCCAGGACCCTGGGATCATGACCTGAGCCGAAGGCAGATGCTTAACCGACTGAGCCACCCAGGCGCTCCAAGGGTTACATAATTTCTAAGACCCCTTTTGGTCTTACAGCCTGCTGGTTGTCCCTCATTATCCTTTCTCTCTTTCTTCCATAGGAATAGAACATCTGAGTTCTGTTATCATTCCGATAATTTCTATCACCATTAGATAGTTGAGGCCTACCATACAATTCTATTTCTATCTCTGAAAGTATTCAACTCACCTGTGTAATATACGTATAGTAAAACATATTACAATCTTTCGTTGGAAATGGAAGAAATATAGCAAATTTGTCCTTATCTTTGGTCTTACATTAGTAAGAATAAGAAATAAAGAGCATTTTTGAGTGTCTTTTGGCAAATGAAACTGGACCATGTTTTCGTCTGATTTCATCTTTAAAGCCAATGACGACAATGAAGCTGATTGTCTCCAGGTGTCACCTGGAAGGTGGAGTTGTGGAAACTTGGGAAGCAGGTGGGGATGGGTTTGATTCTGGCAGCCCCACTACAGACTCTATGGCCCTGGCCAATCAACTTTCCCTAAGTTTGCTGGTTTCCTCCAAATAATTTTCCAACTACTGCTGGCAACACAGAACCCACATTTAAACACTTCCTTGGAGCGCTGATTTGGGAACCAGCCCTACAGGTGATTGGCCCTCCTAACCTGCCAGTACTAGATGACCCCCTTAGTCTCAGGTAGTAGTTGGGTTCTCAGCCTGCCTTAGCACAGACTTCGTGAATAGCCAAGGGGCTTGGCTTAGAACAGCAGGTGTCAACCCTCACAGGCCATCAGAATTTTCCAGGCATCTTCAAAAATGTACAGATGCCCATGCCCCACTATGGAGAACAGATTTGATTAGTTTAAAGGTGGTGCTCAGCCACCTTTTTACAGGTGGTACAGGACTTTTTCGGACTCATTAAGTGATTATTTTATGCAGGTAGGCTCGAGACCCATTGGCTTAGATCTCCTATAGTCACCTTAAGCCCCATGGTAGGGCAGTAGGGCAGAAGTGGGAGGAATATCCCGAGCCAATCACAGAGCCCACACAAGCCATATTGGGAAAGCCCATTATTTATTTACTGAAATCCTCACCTTAGCTCCAGTGTAGACATGGGAATGAGCATCACACACTGGTAGAAAACGCAAGACCAGACCTCTCAACTTCATCTTCATAGGTAGCAATAAAAAGAGTAAAGTCACAAGACTTCATTTCAAAAGAGTGTTAATAAAAGCATAACCTCAACACTTGGTTCCCTACCTCTGTGTTGTGAGCATGGCCCTAAGTGTTCCTAATGTCAGAGATCAGAATCTTTTATTTTGGCGGCAGTTAGTGGTTCTGTTCAAAGCTATTGCTACCAAGAAAAAACCCAAAAATATAAGAAAAGAAGCCATTCAATAAATAAAACTACACTTAAAAAAAACAAAAAACAAACCTAGACCATGTGTGAAAGTTTGAAATGATTTTCTCAGTTTAAACAATGAGCGAGGACTTTATGTACTTTCAGTCTGATGAGTCCAGCACTTGGGCAGCATAGACAGGGGGAGGATGGAGAAAATTGTTTAAGCATTTCCCAGATGCTTTTTGTAATACATGCAAGGTTATGTATTCAGCCACCCATGAACAAGCTTGCAGGAGGGCCAAGGAACAACAGTGCCATCGGTTTCCCTTTGAATAACTAGCTGCCTGTCACATGGAGTGCAACTGTGACTCTTCAGTAGTTCTTCACACTTTGCAAAATTCTGGCAAAAAAGGGAAGGATGCATTTCTCTCTCTTAAAAATATCTGTAATGAAATCTGAGCTATTATTTATATTTTATATATATATATATATATATATATATATATATACACATATTAATAAAATGTAGTGGAAAGTTCCTCCAAACTTTCCTTCTTAGGAAAAAATAACCCCCCCAGGGATTTTGGTCATATGTAAGGCCATTTTGTCATGTTCTCTCTCTCTTTTTTTAAGATTGTATTTATTTATTTGAGAGAGAGAGAGCACAAGCAGGGGGAGCGGCAGAAGGAGAGGGAGAAGCAGACTCCCCGCTGAGCAGGGAGGGCTCCCCCCACCGCCCGATGTGGGGGGCAGGGCTCAGGGCTCCATCCCAGGAGGCGCTCCATCCCAGGATCCTGGGATCATGACCTGAGCCAAAGGCAGACACTTAACTGACTGAGCCATCCAGGCGCCCCTTGTCACGTTCTCTTAAAACCAGCTTGCCTGTCCCACTTCCCTAATTTTCCCCACGGCACATCATTCTTTCAGTCATCTGATTTTGCTCAGTCACTTTAAGATATTTTCCCATCCTGACTTCCTAACACCATTCATCTTCCTCTTCTCATGCCACTGTTGTGAGCGCCACAAGACAGACCCTCTGAGTCTCTCACCTGGACTCTGGCCCCCCTCTCCCTGTCTCCTTGCTTGCAGGCTGTCTTCTTAGCAAGTTACTGTGAGCCCCATTGCCAGATTAGTTTTTTTACAACAAGATTTTTATCATTCTTTTGTGTAACAAGCATTCATTTTAATATACCATGAAAGACTGTGAACTCAGATATCAGAGAGCTGAGTTCAGATCTGAGTTCCAAAATTAACTAGTAAATCACTTGACTCCTCTGAGCCTCAATTCCTTATCTATTAGCCTAGAGATAAGAATTAAATATCGTGGACTGACATATGTAAAATGCTTCGTGCAGTGTCTGGAATACAACCTGTCAATTATTTGCTCAGTAATTATTATATTTAAAGGAGTAAACTCCAGAATCTCAGCCACTTCCAAGCTCTAATACTATTCCATTGTGTTTACAAACTTTGTGCTAAAACAACTCTGCTTTATTTATTGTCCGACATTTCCTGTCCCTTTGCTATTTTTTCAACTTCTCATTTTGAATCTTGGGCTTAGAATGTTAACTGCTAGTCCTTTAACGTCTTCCTCCTCCAGAAATTCTTCAGGAACCGCTTCAGCGTATGCTGCCTTCTCCTTTCCATGAACTTGCAGCAATTCCTAGTGTGGGGAGACATGTCTTCATGGGTCCCTCATGCTTCTCATGTCTTGTGAGCAGGGGCACTTATTGCTTTTGCTTCAGAGGATCCTTCTAGGGTGTTTGTATATTCCTGGCCTGAGAATACAGAGGTAATTTCTCCCTGTGGGGCAAAGGGCAAGTTTGTTTACTGTTGAGTGTAACAAAGAGAATGCCTCCTTTCAGGGCAGAAGTCAGGCAGGCTCACTGCCCTCGGAAAAGACATGGGTTCCCCAAGCTCGGTTCTCTTCCTGTAATGCAACCAGCTGTGTACGGAAGGGTCACTGGGTCTTCTTTGCATTAGCCTGGGGGTCGGGTGCAAATGATGATCCTCCTGCTGCTGTGCTTGCTGTCAGTCCCAGTCCTTTGGGTCTGGTTCCTTGTGGTCGGTCCCAGTTCCTTGTGGTCGGTCCCAGTCCTTTGGGTCTGGTTCCTTGAGGTTGGTCCCAGTTCCTTGTGGTCGGTCCCAGTCCTTTGGGTCTGGTTCCTTGTGGTCGGTCCCAGTCCTTTGGGTTCCTGCCAGCATCCGGAATCTGTAGTATTGTTAACTTGTTAGCTTGCAAGTAGGATACCATTTCAGATCCTAGAATAGTTCTTGACAACTATTACTGTTATTGTTATTATTTGGTTGCTATGGCTCCGAAATATTTTTTCATAACAATCTCCTCTTTCCCCCCGCTTTTTTCTTGTCATGGGTCCGTGGAGAGACTGATATATAGAGCAACTGGTTTGTGGGGAAATTGCTTTTTTTTTTTTTCCTGCAGAATGTTCTGAATCATGGGTTGAGTTGATTGCTTCCTACGATGTCATTTGTCTTGGTTCTGTATACCATGATTTCCCCCCAAATTATTTTTCATGTTACACACTGTCTCCAGACCTCTCTTGAATCATTTGACTTTTGTTCATGTTTATTTCTGGCCTTTGTTACTACATTTATGTTTTTTTATGGATAGGATGTCTTTTGATTTGTCTTTAAAAAAAAAATTCCCCCACAGTTTCTAGTGAATATCATGATGAGAGCAACAGCGTTTGCTGAATGAATGCTCAAGATAGAAACGATTAAAGGAGGAGTCTAGTCAGATAATGGCCATCCTTTCCCTCTTTTCCACCAGAGGCCGCATTCCATTTCACCTTAGATTTAGGAACATTTCAAAGTCTGGGATTTGGTCTGCTTTGAATACCTGGGTATCTGTGCTTCATAAATGTAACTGAATGAAGTGGCAAGTGTATAAAAATGCTTTCTTAAGTGAAGCCTTAGTCTGGTTACACTTTAACTTACACTGGAGCTCCAACTGGGGCCAATGAAACCTACTATGATTTCATCACTGTTTCATTTCAGTCTACTAGGTAGTGAGTTTGAAGGCCAAGACCAAATCC